AGGCCTCCCTAGAATTCCCACAACGAACGGTCCTTCGCCGCTCACATCACATACCTACTTATGACTGTTAAAATGGATCACTTACTGCGTTTTGAACTAGTCTGTCTTCTAGATTTGAGACGAAAGAATCATCATTTGGTAGGTGGATCTAAACCAATTCAACCTTTATCAGGTCATCGATCACTTACTTAACACCAAGTACGATTGCGGTCAAATACCTGCCTTGTCCTGCATAAAAAATCAACTAATGCAAACACTGACTTTTAAATAAAAACGACTACAAGATTTTTAGCTTGAACATCGAACGCACTTAAAAACTTTAAGTCTTATTCCCATCTTCACATCACGCTACAACCATATTGAAGTAGGAAATAGCACTTCCATAGCTCCATTGTGTAAAAGGAAGCCAAAGTCATTAACATAGCTTGAAGAGTTCAGGGGATCAGGTATTTGCCATTCGTTATTGTGAAAAAAGTGGCATTCGTAAATTATTAGTGTCGTGAGAATACACAAAACTATAGAAAGTTGCTTCTCATACCGCAACAATACATTTTGCAACTTTCTGTCGTTTGTAGATGAAAGTATATGTTACATACTCGTATTAGTAACCACACACACAAGCTTTACGTATTTACATATAAAGTACCTACATACTTTAGTTCAGACTTTACCTGTAACATTTAATACTTAGGCCCGAAACTTTTAACTGAGAATAACTTCTGGTATAACTAACTGACACATTGACAGTTTCAGTATGGGAAATAAGTCAAAACTGACTCTTTATTCTGAGATTAATTTTTACTGTTGTTTGGCCGAAAAGGGTGGATTCGGCCAAACAACAAAAGTTACATAATTCTAGAGCTACTTGATTTACAACATTATTCGATGAACAACAAAGTTTGTAATGCTTGTTTAAAAACTACGTTCCACATAATATGTAAATATTGTTTTTTTTGTATATAGTATAGTTTTTAAGTTTGTAAAATACCTGTACAAATTTAGTTTGTTGTTCTGAATAAAGTAAAGTTGCATACGAAAAAAAAAATGCGCTCATCTTTTACTTGGTTCCCTCGGTATTCCGACCTACCTCAACATAACGACATATTAAAGTTTTACACCAAATACCTCCGATCCGACCTGGGAAGATCCACGAGTACTTACGAGTTCACCTATGAAGATAGAGTCGACTTTAGAAAGCACAGTTATGATACTTTCACCAAACATCGCTGGTTACATTAATCAACTACCGCAGGCGTTATTTAGGGTTGCCTCTTCATTGTTCAAGTAATAAACAATGGTAAATATTTTATTAAAATTTTACACAGCGTCGGCTAGTCCCAGACTAAGCAAACTTGTACTATCGGATATCGGGTATCGGACAAAAGATATAACATAAGTAAATGTACGGGAATCTAACTAGCTATCACCATATTATAATAAGTAGATAACTACCCGCACTAGTAACGAAACACCAACAAGATGTGTGGTAGCAAACAGGTCATCGAATGCATCAGCCCATATCGTCATAAATCCATCCTTTCTAAAAATTATATCTTGAAAAATCTGAAAACTACGGCTGGGTTGCACCATCTTACTTTAACTTTGACAAACGTCAAAAATCTGTCAAACTTCATACAAAAATCGGTTATCGTTAGTAATTGTTAAAGTCGTAATGCAACTCAGCCTTAGACTTCATTTGCGTGGTTTGTCCTAAACGTCACATAAAATTCTTTACATTATAAGTATAAAAATTGTCTGTATTTGGGTAGATTCGACCAAACAAGAGTAAATATAAATCTCAGAATAAATTGTCAGTTATTCTACATTTTGACATAATATTTCCCATACTGAAAATGTCAGTGTGCCAGTTATACCAGGAGTTATTCTCGAATAAAAGTTTGGTCGAATCGGGCCTAAGTTGGTCAAGTTGGTAGCCCTGCCTTCCGGGCGTAGAGATGGTAGCGTGTCAAGTTCAAGTATAGTGGAACGGGTTTCGAAGCGGCCAGACTATACGTGGCAAGTCGTTTGATAAGTATGCTATTTTATGTATGCCATGTAAAAGTACTACAAAAAATAATTTTGTCTGTAGAGCTCTAGAATTCTAGATACTGAATAACAAGCAATGTATATTATTACACTAAGACTAGGCGCAAACCATCGATTTTTAGTTGGCCGATAGTTGGGCCCGATTCTAATTTGTATGAAGAATCGGCCAAATCGAATCTGCGTATTGTGCGCACTTCCATACATGCCCATACTGATCAACTGCCCGACTAAACTATCGGCCGACGAAAAATCGATGGTCTGCGCCTAGGCTAAGTTACTGCGCTTCAATTACGATCGAAAAATTAATGGTAAGGTTTTTAATTTGCAAGGAAAAGTTGTGTCCATCATCCTACTCATACCTAACAACACATTTATTTTATTTCTAAAACAACATAATGTACGTATACAGATACGCTAATCTAATTTTTGTTATGTTAACCAAAATTGTAACTACTCTGTTGTAATACAATTAATAAATTAACTTGACTTTCGGACAGACCTTGCTTGCATCTTGCAACATGTAATACACATTTGATACAATTTCATAGCTTCTCAACATTTCGAGTCACGTCTTCAATTCCCCCACAAATTCTATTCAGGTTGTTAAATGTATCGATTTCAACAACAAAATATAGTAACTGCCCGTTTTTTGTATGCGCCAGGGGTTATGTTTTTTATCGACGAATTCACATAGGCCTTTAGTGACACAACCAAACAAATATCTATGCACTATAATTCGTAGAAAATCCCCTTTAGATTACAAGAAAGAGCTAAACATGATTACAATCGTTTTATACAAGTAGTTCTGCCTGCGATTCTCATCCAAAGCTGTACAGAATAAACCTAACATATGATTTTTAAATTGGGGACGTCTAGGCCATATGTTGAGAACCACTGATGTGCAATTTGAAAAAACCTTACTACAAGAAAAATGTGTATTGCGCTAAACATATCATTTCATTTCGGTCGTAACTACATAAGTAATTACATGTTGTAAAACATAAGGGCTTGATGAGGAAACATTTGTATTTTGTAACAATTTAATTTGATTTTCCGAAATGGTTAACGAAAAACGAGTTCTAGCAAAATACAAGTTTTTAAAAGGATCTCTACATTGTAGAGTCAAACTCGAAGCAATCCAAAAAAATATTTAATGTGTCTAAAACAAGCAAGCATTGCTTTATTCCCACAATCTTTCCAAATATTCATTAACAAAGGTTAATAGAGCCTTAATATTAATATTTTTTCTTTAATGACTGTATAGCGCTATAGAGGCAAAAAGCCCTCTTAAGTACGTCTTAATTATTTTCTTAGAATTCCTAATCTAATCACATTATGGCATGACATTAATGTTGTTCTCATACTAAATCTTTGTATTTAATTCCACTGAACTTCGCACTCAGACACCAAAAAACGTTCAAGGTCGTCAGCCAAGTACATAGCTGAACGTCTATCGTCGACAGTACGTCAAACTTTTCTAAAATAGCACCTAACTAAAAGGGCAGGCCTCCTAATAGGTGGACCGACGATCTGGTAAAGGTCGCGGGAAGAGCCTGGATACGGGCAGCGCAGGACCGTTCATTGTGGAAAACCTTGGGAGAGGCCTTTGTCCAGCAGTGGACTTTATTTGTCTGAAACGAACGAACGAACGAAAAGTGCTAAAGATGCCACAATATTTGACTTTAGTGTGCCGCCTTCCGTATTGGTAGATATACTTATTATTGCCTTTGGGGTAGAAAGGTTCTCGAGTGGCGACCACGGAGAATCCTTCGGGCTGGTTTTTATCCAGTTGTGGACTCATTTTTCTGAAACAAACGAAATAAACAACATTATAATAATTTATTACTATGGCTTCGGGTATAAAAATCGCACCATGCAGGATCAAAATCTACGACTGTAGCTCACATTGAAGCCATCAGGCTTGGCCATCAATGATATAACGATAAAACTAATGAGTATCCTTCACAATTACATCATAATACAGTAAATTGTACAGTATCCACGGTTATTATGGCATTAGCAGGTAATAAAGTGTTATGCCATGCTGGTATGCCACAAATTACTTTAATAGCTATGGTTATGCACTAGTATTGCACCATTGTGGCGATAGTACCTTGTCAAATTGTCACTAAATTGTTATATTTTTATTTAACGACTTAAGACACCCTAAAACCTACAATGTCGGTAATTAAGGGTTTTTTATAGTGTCATTATTTGTTTTTCTAATGTGATTTCATATAAAGTTACTTTTTACCAAATTCATGCAATTTGCAACACACACAAACCTCAAAACTATAATAAATCAGACACATCAAGGAAATTGGCGCTTAATCCGCTTCATCTCAACAAAGCTGATTAATCAGCAAAGAACAATAAAGACTACGGACTGACATTCTTCTTTCTTTTATCTGAACCAGTGCATCTGATATAAGATCAATTAATGCTCTATGTTCCTCTTTCTATACAAAGTATAGAGGACAATCATGTTTTGAAAAAGTATGTCTTAAATTGGTCGGCTCCACTACCCAATTGTCTTGGTATACCGCTACCTTGATTGAAGTAAACTTCACATGGTTATCCCTTTGATGCGTGGAAACCATTAAAAGATTCGATGCACATGACTGATGTAACGGCGTTCGAACCCGCGACCTCTGACTTAGAAGTCCAATGGGCCTAGAATTCTGGAATTGCTTACCTCTGGTGTTTTTTTAACTAGGCAGTTACAGTGCTTATTGTAGCTAATTTGAAATTAAAACTGTTACGAATGTCACTTTGCCCAGTAGGCACGCGATAACCCCATACATTTGTTGTCTAAAATCATCGATAGGATTTTATATCATGGCGCGCATCCTATCCTGGCTGGTTGTATTTCGCGAAACACTAGTTTGCAGTGACTAGCATGGTTCTAATTAAAAATAAATTCCTCACTAAAAATCTTCCTCATCGTCTTCCAGATGGTGCTATCAGACTGGTTCAAGGAGATCGCGTACAAGGCAGAGCTGGACCGCCATGACGACCCTGAAGGACAGGAGGTGGCCTACGCCCTTTGCGGGGAGAGGCCGGAGACCATTGCCAGGAATATTGAGGACCTCAGGAATATGATCTATGGTTGGCATATCAGTATAATCAAATACAATATTTTTTATTGACGAGATTGCTAGCAAGTACCATATTTACGAGTCTCCGATATTTCGGCACTGTTGCACGCGCCATGATCACGGATGTACCTACATGGTAGCAATCCCGTCAATAATTATTCTATGTGACCATGAAAGTTTAAAACAATATGAGATCAAACATGCAAAGCTAAAGCAAGCTAAAACGGCAATATGGCGGAGTAAATAAGTTTTTAATGAAAATACATCTTGGTGTTTATTTACGATGTGTGGGGCGCCCACTCCATTTGAAAATCTTAAAAGCTCAAGCTGAAAAGCTAGTCTAAGCTTAGTTAACGACCTTGTGTATGTGTCCTTACATGTGTACTGCCATAGACTAAAATTACGATGATAAACATAATTTTGATTATTTACAATAACAAAATGCAATTCTACTTAGCTATATTAGGTAATTCTCTCTTTTGAATACTTACTTATAACCTTGGTTGAATATTTATGTAACAGCTATGCTTTGTACGAAGGGACCTCGTAGTTCTAGCTTTGAATTTCTTTTTTTAAACGGATAAACTCTTGATCTGTATCTAACCATATTTTCTTAAGATGAATATCGTTGTGGGTCCTATAACTTTCAATTAGATAAAATAAAGCAAATAAGGTAAAATACTTTTGTGGGCAGTAGCTTTCAAATTCCACCAGGTTGTAAATGTATCCAATAAACACTGTTTACGACAGCCATTTATGAATCCATACAATCTCAAATATTTATTCAGAAATTACAATGGCCTTAGTGGCTCTATCGTAACACAGAGAAAGCTAGAAAGCTGTCACCTACACGTTTCTATAAATACGTGAGTTCCACTCAAACGTTAGATAAAACTAGACAAACAAACAAAATTTGCAAATCTAGGTCTTTTGATACTTTATTACTAACTTACCTACTTTCACATAGCGCGATTATCATAAGATCATTAAGGCAGGGTTGCACCATCTAACTTTGACATTAACAAACTTCAAAAATCTGTCAGACTCCATACAAAAAACACCAGTAATCGTCAAAGTTACGGTCAAAGTTAGGTGGTGCAACTCAGCCTTAGACTCCATTGCAGGAGGACGACTCTACTATTATAAGTATCTAACGGGTGTTTTTTAGAGGTACGTTAAAATTGCCTTCGCAAATTCTAAACATGTTACTTTCCGGTTCTTAATTTATTATTCCGAAAATTTGGCTTGCTGGTAGAAACTAGCCATCGAACATAATAATTCGTATAATTATGAGAACTAGCCATGTCAAACTACTGGCTACAATATACATTATAATTAATTATCCTAAGTTTTGAAATGAAATGATGTTGTTATAAATTTCAGGACTGACCATGATCATTGAACTTGGAACCCATTTAGATCTCACTTTTTTTGCCGTTTAATTCAACAACCAAGGCATATAATAATATTGAACTTGGCTCTCATTTCACATTTATATTTTTGATAGGTCTAATCTAAAGAAAAAAGACTTACTAAGCCTTATNTCTTAACTTTGACAAACGTCAAAAGTCTGTCAAACTCCATACAAAAAACACCGCTTATCGTTATAATAGTTACGGTCAAAGTTTGGTGGTGCAACTCAGCCTAAGACTTCATTTGCGTGGTTTGTCCTAAACGTCTTTTATTTTCTATTGGTACAAAATTGTCTGTATTAATGTAGAGTCTAAACTAAGAAGTTGGTAGCCCTGCCTTCCGGGCGTAGAGATGGTAGCGTGTCAAGTTCAAGTATAGTGGAACGGGTTTCGAAGCGGCCAGACTATACGTGGCAAGTCGTTTGATAAGTATATGATATTTTATGTATGCCATGTAAAAGTGCTACAAAAAAATTATTTTGTCTGTAGAGCTCTAGAATTCTAGATACTGAATAACAAGCAATGTATTTTATTACACCACTCACAGCGCTACAATTACGATCGAAAAATTAATGGTAAGGTTTTAAATTTGCAAGGAAAAGTTGTGTCCATCATCCTACTCATACCTAACAACACATTTATTTTATTTCTAAAACAACATAATGTACGTATACAGATACGCTAATCTAATTTTTGTTATGTTAACCAAAATTGTAACTACTCTGTTGTAATACAATTAATAAATTAACTTGACTTTCGGACAGACCTTGCTTGCATCTTGCAACATGTAATACACATTTGATACAATTTCATAGCTTCTCAACATTTCGAGTCACGTCTTCAATTCCCCCACAAATCCTATTCAGGTTGTTAAATGTATCGATTTCAACAACAAAATATAGTAACTGCCCGTTTTTTGTATGCGCCAGGGGTTATGTTTTTTTATCGACGAATTCACATAGGCCTTTAGTGACACAACCAAACAAATATCTATGCACTATAATTCGTAGAAAATCCCATTTAGATTACGAGAAAGAGCTAAACATGATTACAATCGTTTTATACAAGTAGTTCTGCCTGCGATTCTCATCCAAAGGTGTACAGAATAAACCTAACATATGATTTTTAAATTGGGGACGTCTAGGCCATATGTTGAGAATCACTGATGTGCAATTTGAAAAAACCTTACTACAAGAAAAATGTGTATTGCGCTAAACATATCATTTCGTTTCGGTCGTAACTACATAAGTAATTACATGTTGTAAAACATAAGGGCTTGATGAGGAAACATTTGTATTTTGTAACAATTTAATTTGATTGTCCGAAATGGTTAACGAAAAACGAGTTCTAGCAAAATACAAGTTTTTAAAAGGATCTCTACATTGTAGAGTCAAACTCGAAGCAATCCAAAAAAATATTTTATGTGTCTAAAACAAGCAAGCATTGCTTTATTCCCACAATCTTTCCAAATATTCATTAACAAAGGTTAATAGAGCCTTAAATGTGTAAAATACATTACTAATCCTATTTAATATCTTTGATACCAAATAAATATTTTTTCTTTCTTTCTTTAATGACTGTGTAGCGCTATAGAGGCAAAAAGCCTTCGTCGTGACAGTGCTTAAGTACATTTTAATTATTTTCTTAGAATTCCTAATCTAATCACATTATGGCATGGCATTGATGTTGTTCTCGTACTAAATCTATGTATTTAATTCCACTGAACTTCACACTCAGACACAAAAAAGTTTCAAGGTCAGCCAATTACATAGCTGAACGTCTAGCGTCGACAGTACGTCAAACTTTTCTAAAATAGCACCTAACTAAAATGGCAGGCCTCCTACTAGGTGGACCGACGATCTAGTAAAGGTCGCGGGAAGAGCCTGGATGCGGGCAGCGTAGGACCGTTCATTGTAGAAAACCTTGGGGGGAGGCCTTTGTCCAGCAGTGGACGTTATTTGGCTGAAACAAACGAACGAACGAAAAGTGCTAATATTTGACTTTTGTGTGCTCCCTTTCTTACTGGTACCTAAATACTCTTAATATAGATCTAGCCTTGGAGGCAGAAAGGTTCTCGAGTGGCGACCACGGAGAATCCTTGGGGTTGGTCTTTATCCAGTAGTAGACGGCAGAACTGACGGCCGATGGGGCAGCATGGTTCTGGAGTGGAAGCCGCGTACCGGAAAACGCAGCGTGGGACCAAGATGGACCGACGACATCATAAAGGTAGCAGGAAGGCGCTGGACGCAGGCCGCTACCAAACGGGCAACATGGAAAGCATTGGGGGAGGCCTATGTTCAGTGGACGTCCTATGGCTGAGATGATGATGATGACGATGATGGACGTCATTTGGCTAAAACAAACGAAATAAACAACATTATAAAAATTACCTCGGCTTTGGTTATAACGAAATTTTGCGCCATTAAGGATCAAAATCCACGACTGTAGCTCACATTGAAGCCATCAGGCTTGGCCATCAATGATATATAACGATAAAACTAATGAGTATCCTTCACAATTACATCATAATACAGTAAATTGTACAGTATCCACGGTTATTATGGCATTAGCAGGTAATAAAGTGTTATGCCATGCTGGTGTGCCACAAATTACTTTAATAGCTATGGTTATGCACTAGTATTGCACCATTGTGGCGATAGTAGCTTGTCGAATTGTCACTAAATAGTTATATTTTTATTTAACGACTTAAGACACCCTAAAACCTACGATGTCGGTAATTAAGGGTTTTTTATAGTGTCATTATTTGTTTTTCTAATGTGATTTCATAAAAAGTTAAATGATGACGACACTGTTTCACCAGGTTCATGCCATTTGTAACACACACAAACCTCAAAACGATAATAAATCAGACCCATCAAGGAAATTGGCGCTTAATCCGCTTCATCTCAACAAAGCTGATTATTTAATCAGTTCCAATTAGGTCCAACCGTGGACTGTCATTTTTTTTTAAATATTTGTTCTTATATTATTATCTGAACCAGTGCATCTGATATTGGATCAATTAATACTCTATGTTCCTCTTTCTATACAAAGTATAGAGGACAATCATGTTTTGAAATAGTACTTCTTTAATTGGTCGGCTCCACTACCCAATTGTCTTGGTATACCGCTACCTTGATTGAAGTAAACTTGCCATGGTATCCCTTTGATGCGTGGAAACCATTAAGAGATTCGATGCACATGACTGATGTAACGGCGTTCGAACCCGCGACCTCTGACTTAGAAGTCCAATGGCCCTAGAATTCTGGAATTGCTTACCTCTGTTGTTTTTTTAACTAGGCAGTTACAGTGCTTATTGAAGCTAATTTGAAATTAAAACTGTTACGAAATATGTCACTTTGCCCAGTAGGCCCGCTAGATTTTACGCGATAAGCCCATACATTTGTTGTCTAAAATCATCGATAGGATTTTATATCATGGCGCGCATCCTATCCCGGCTGGTTGTATTTCGCGAAACACTAGTTTGCAGTGACTAGCATGGTTCTAATTAAAAATTAACTCCTCACTTAAAACCTTCCTCATTGTCTTCCAGATGGTACTATCGGACTGGTTCAAGGAGATCGCGTACAAGGCAGAG